AATTGAAGAAAATTATTATACAAACTCAAACATGAAGACAAAAGTCTTTGGAGTCTGACAAAGAAAGCAACCAAATAAAGTTGAAGACTTTGTATCATATACGTGTAGCTTTGTTGTGTTAATTATTTAAGGGTAAAAAGGGTCACGAAGAAGAGAAAAAAGGAGAAATAAACCAACCTATTAATAAAGGAACACATGAATCCAAGCAAAGCTATAAGTGATGAGAATCAAGTTAAAAAAACCCATACCAAGATTTCTTTATTCTCAAAACCGACAAGTTTCTATAATTGGTATTTCTTTATTTATATGCTTGGAGATAAGCGTTTATGAATTTCCCTTGAACCATATTATGTACCATGGCTTTATCACATATGTTTCTTTCCACTAAGTTCGAAAACAGTGCTTGGTTCCTATAGCTTTCCTTGCGAAAAACCATGGAAAAATGATCGAACTAGTAAGGAAATAAGCAAAACAAGTTGAGATTGAACCTAAAAATAGACCCCTCAAACCATCGGAGTCCCAACTACGGCAGATCCAACAAACGACAATCCTTGGCAACTTGAAGGGCTACCGGAGCTGGAGCTGGAGCTTCTTCAACCCAGAAAGCATCTTCAACCGTGGGAACATGGAACAATGCCAACAAATGGGTTGCTTTGTTTGTTGATCGAGACGCGTGTGAGCCCCATATCAATGACTAGCTGGATAGCGTGCAAAGTGGCCATGGCTTCGGCCGCAAAGGTTGAGCTAGCGTCAAAATTTACTTTAACCCATAGAGCACGAGGGAGTTTCCAATGGACCTGTTGAGGAGGAAAAGGGGCTTGAAACCTTCTCTGAGCAAGCTCAAACTCTGCGTATGATTCTTGATGAAAGAGATAAGTGCTTCAATACCCGTTGATTTACCCGTATGAAGTTTATGAATGCACATGTACCAAATCGCCCACAAGTTATCTTGGATCTAGTTAATGGAGTTTCAGCAAGTGAAGAAACTGGTCAAACAAAGGAAACAATCTCAATGGAAATACTCGCAGAATCAACAACCATCTCGCAAAGTTACGCAGCTTACTCCCAAGCACCACCAAAACGGACAAGGCTTCACTACTTGCAGAAGTAATCCAACATGTGAAGGAGCTGAAATGAAAAACTTGTTTGATAGCATAAACGAGTGTCGTCCCGACCGAAATGGATGAACTAACAGTGGATACGTCGGACCAAGAAGCTTGAAATTAGTCTTTCATCAACAATCAAACATTCAAAAAATTAAGGGAAAAGAAAAAGGAATATGATCCGAAGACAAAGGAAAATGGGGTTATGATTCCAACATGAAAATCACGTGGGTGGTGTCTAGGAAAATAAAGTGGTAAATCACAAGGTATGTCACCCAAGTTTGGTGAGATCTTTACCTTGTCTCTTAGTTTCCAAGTGGTTATAGTTATGACATAATAGTTGTGGTTATAGTTATGACATAATAGTTATGACATAATAGTTTTTACAAGATCAATTTAGTCACTAAATTAAGTAATTAACTATTTTGATGGCAACATTAGTTTTCAATTTTATCAATTGAGTCCTCAAATTATTATTTAGATTCTAATAAGTTAATTTTATGGCGAGGGAAATTATTTGGATATGAGTTAGTAATTTTGATGGCCTGGATCGTGAGGAAAATATTGGAAGTTGAATTAAAGATCAAGGTCGTTCAAATGGAATTTAAATGGTCGATCGATATAGCATGAAAATCGAGGTAATACATTACTACCTCTTTATATTTTATAGAACATGTTGATAATGGATAAATGCATGGATATATTTATATATATGCCTGTTTAATTGTGGATGGATTCGAATCGAATACGGTTTAAGTGATAAATTATGAGAATACTTCGATTAGGTAAAATTACGAAAATACCCTTATGTTGTAAAAAGACAATAATTAACCCTAGAAGATATATAAGAAGTTTGTTAAGGAATAATTTATAGTTTAGAGACTATTCGGAAAAACGATTAACCCTAGAATATCTAAATTATAATTATCCTTGTTAAGAGTTTTAATACCGAAATTTACATGGTTAAGAAAATACAAAAATGCCCTTGAGAGGTAAAAACAGTCTAAGTTGACCATGCATGAGAAAATACTTTGAGGATTCGTACTTAACTCGATAAATTACAAATCTAATTGTTAAGATCATTACTTTGTACATAAAATTTCTGATATTCCGTTTGTAAAATCTGAGAAGGCACTTGACCCGAAAATCTTTGAGTTAAGGGTAAATACCTGAAGAATAATTTATCGATGATGATTTTTTGTGAGAATTGTTTGAAAGGACTGGAATAGATGAATAGTTTGAATTAAATAATAAGACCAGACGGAAGGAAAAGATTGAAATACCTTGGATCTGTACAATGACCAAAATACTCTAGAATGCAAATGACCTAAGAATATCACTAAGCCCAGGAATGATTAATACCCTAGAAGGACAATGAATTGATCAGTAGAGAAGTATCAGTTCTGGAAGTGGTCCAGCTCGAGTTATTTGATAATCCGATCGATCGACATAGATGGTAAATGTCCTGAATCTTCGTTCTCGCTTATCAGCTCAAATCACTCTGGTCATATACGAAAAACAAGTAACTCATATGCAAAGGATTCTGAAAAACTTTCTGAATACTTGATCCTCCGAAAACTGCCCGAATACTAAATGATCCTGATAAGTCATGTTCTGAATAACCGATGATCCCATCAGCTAATAAACTCTTCCGATAGTGATTCTAATTTCTGACATTCTAACGGTATACTAAATATCTCTGTTTCTCTGTCCGATAAGATTATCCAGTACCTCTGAACCATATCTGTAGCATCTAGTGTGTTCCCTGATCATATGAATATTTTATCTGATTTCGGTTCTGATTTCTGCTCTGAGTTATGTTCTGATTTCTGCTCTGATTTCTGATATCTCCGTTTACTGGCGGAAAATGTTTTATTCGGGGTACTCTGGGATCTGGTATGAAGACTCTGGCAGGTTCAGGCGCTGCGGTTAATTCCTTTTATAGGTTCTGCACCGACTGGTAATTCCTTATGGACCTAAGGCGACCCTTGGGTAGGCTATGTGGCCCTGAGATTTTTCTTGGGTAGGCCTTTGTGGGCCCGAGAATATTCTTAGGTAGACTCGCAGGCCCCAAGGTACTCTCTTAGGTTGTGCAGTTATGGGGATCTGAACATGGCGTTCGGTTGGAAGACGATTCAAAGTTTTTAAATTAAAAAATCCTATGATTTTTTATAACTGTGAACTGTAATGATTTTAAAAAGCATAATAGTTTTAAATGTTTTACGGGAACACACTAGATAACCTATTATGATCTCCTAAACTCGATTATCCGAAATATTTATCTGAACTGAAAGCTCACTGTCGGTTACTACCTGAAATATCAGTAGGATTTCCGCTCAACATAAAGATCTGTAGATGTCTGAATCGATAAGGAAATATATGTTTATCTGTATCTGCACGTTCTTCAGCATCATCTGGTAGTTCTTTATTACTGAGCTTTCCGAAGCTCACTCTATTACTCACAATTGCAGGTTAAAAGAATTGTACCAGTGAAGCAATCGACTTCAGTGAGTTATTCCGGCTTTGTTTGCAGAGTATGATACATGTGATTAGGTGGCATGTAATTGTATTTTGTTTTATATATATGAGTCTGAAAATCTGTTTTATTTCTAAATACTGATAAATGATTTTATGAGTTTACATGTTATGATAAAAAGTTTTAAATTTTCTGCTATTTTTACGGTGGGTCGCTCCGGTGGCCCTAATGTGACTCCCTAGATCGGATCGGGTTACCCACATCGGTCTGAGGGGTTACATATCTCCGCACCAACGTTTTCAAAGAGCTCTTCAGTTTGTGGGAGGAAGAGTGCGGATTGCCAATGGACAGCATTGTTCAAAGACACGTCTCCGAAATACCGGACAAGGCATTGTTCATGTTATTGGACTCGCATCAGTTGAAGATCATTCTGCCGTGAAAAAAATCAAAAAGGTTTCACCGAAATTGGAAGTTACCTTGGTGTTCGGATTTGTTTCGCCGAATAAAAGAAACAACTCCATATGGAGTTACGTTGCTGCGAAGTAACTTCGTTTCCTTCTATTACATAGTTTCAAGCACTAATTCCAAACTTATATAGCTCAGCTGAAATTCAAGTTAAATAATTACTTCAGGAAAAGTCCTCTCACATTAATTTAGTTGAAGGTTGGTATCAAATCCATAAACAGGGCTGTCCTAGTTATATTTTCATATACAAAGTGATAGTGACGGGCAAAATTAGTTATTTTAGATTGAAAAATTTGTAGTTGTTTTTTTAAGATCAAGACATCAACTTATTCATGATGACTTTTTGAATGAAATTCAAGAATTTAGAGGTTACAAAGTATGTTCAAGGATCATCTGATCATCAATTAAATTTTAAACTCGTCTTGAAACGACTCAATTAAATGTCGAACTCAAGATACTAGGCTTTTTTTTCAAATGTTTAAATATAATACTTTAATAATATACCTAAGAGTGATAGTCAAAGCTAATATTATACCTAAGAGTGATAGTCAATGCTCTCATCTATGCCGTGTTGTCTGATCATGTATGTCTTCGATATATAAACACGTTTCTTTTTTATTAAAATAAATCCAATTTTCATTCAAATTAGTTTTTTTTGTCCTTTGATCGGATTAAAATAGAATTTGTACCCAAGTCATCTGACACTGCACAATGACGTGGATGATTTATATCACCGAGGGAAGGCTTGACCTTGATTGGGGTAAGACACATGACTATGGTTTTCAGATTTCTAAATGCTGTGGGGATAATGGCTTTTGCTTTAAGAGGCCATACACTAACGCTTGAAATTCAGTTTTTTAATAAATTTCCAAGAGATTGGATGTCTCGATAAAAAAGTATAAATAGTTAGATAAAAGAAATTATTAACCATTCTATAATTTATTAGTGGACAGTAGAACTCTTCAGCCTACGTATACTATTGATCTGCTGCAAATCAACTTTACGGGTATATCATACATGCACAAATGTTTCAATCACTCACAGCATCTACTCCTATCCTCTGACGTCTTTAAGACTACAAACATGTCTGAACACGTTACAAAATAAAGCAAATATTGTTTACTACACTAGCACCTGGATAAGCATTCTAAATTTAGTTTCTCACAGCTACGAATAGGATGGGGGAAAAAAGGTAGTGAGAACCGCCCTGTACCTTCGAATTAACTACTACCAGTTCAATTAGAGCATCCAACTTTCCACCTCAACTCATTAGACTCCCCAATGGTTCCCAAACTTTTGAGGTGATCATATCGAAACCGTATTCCAGCATCAGCTAGGCTTGGGCCAATTCACATTCTCTTTACCACAGTAAGCATGAACAAAATGCAATGATCAGTAGATCTCAAAATTTATACCACAAGTTGGTCCGTTTTTATCAAAAAAGACCAAGCTTCATGTAGTTCTACATAGATAACGGAAGAAGCATCCTTCTTTTCTTTTTCCTAGCCAATCTAATTTGTTTTGTGATTTTCATGCAGAGAAGCAATAGCATTGTTATGCATACTAGGATAAAGGCAAGTTGCAAATGCCTAAAATATAAAGAGACAGCTGAAAAAACCAGGAAAGCTAAAATAACAAGTTCCCATAAAACAAAGAGCACAACATCAACCCTGCAACCACGAAACAAGAAAGCACAACGATTAGATAACATGACAAAGAAGACCAAATGAATGGATCACAATAAAACTAACTAGTCTGTATGTCACACTCTCTGATAAAAGGTTGGAATCTTCTGTCTCGTATAATTTATTTAATCTAATTGTAACCCAACAAACATTTCAAAACTTGTTCAAACTACTACACATGCATAAGTAGCAAAAAAATAAAAAACATCAAATGCACACATGCTGCAAAGTTTAGGTTCAATGCCAACAGCTTAATATTTTCAACTTCCGGCGTCAAGGCTTCTCAATATGAGCAATAACGCCACCTACCCTAAGTCCCTAATCTTCCATGACCTTGGATAATCCAAACAATTTCTGAAGAACCTATTCCCAACAGATCGGTAAGCATTCTGCTCTTATATATACTTCAAAGATGAGAAAGAACTAGAGATACACATGATACACAACTGTTACAGCTGAACCAACAGCATCTACCATCATACAGTTAAGTCACACACCAACCACCAAATTCATTCAGTTGAAAATCTAAAATATAAAATAAAACCCGGCAGACAAGTAGAAAAGTGAGGGTTAGCAAGATAACAACAATGTCATAACTCATAAGTACACCTAAAGCTGACTTGCAAGGGCTACCGCATTATCAGAACCCATACTCATCTCCACAACAAACTCTCAGTCTCACGAATCAGCTACATGATACAAACACTGGAGGAATTTTCTAATTCTGTCACCCCCAAGGGGCAGGCTTCTTCGAGCCATCTTATTTCTATTTCTGATGAAAAATAAGATGAACCAAAAATTTCAAACATTATTGGTCTATACTTTTTGAGGGTCTAATTAACACAATTCGGACTCAAAAGCAGTCTAACAAAACCCAGAGTCAATTCGCTTCTTCGAGCAATTAAAATTTCAAAGTATTTCCAAACGATAATTTAATTGCTCCAAAAATCGTTGCTCCCCCCTTCAAGTCTTAGTAAATGTACATTTTAAAAGTGGACATTATTTTTACAAAATTAAAAACATATAGAGAAGCCATAGCTGAATTTTTTTTATCTAAGTTATATTATGTACGTAAATCGGTAAAGTTTTCCGATCGAAGTTCAAAATAATGGGAGAAAATCATATCCAGACCGTAAAGAACAAAGATCTTGATATAGAATCACAACCAGGTTAAAACAGTTACAAAATTCCAACGTTATATTCGAAAGAAAAAAATACAGAAAAACGCAATCATGGAATTAGGCATACCTAGAAGACGTAAAATTAGACGTCGAAGTGAAAATCGAAACGGAGGCCCAATCGTGCTTTGATCGAATCTGATACTCTCTCAACTGCTCTGCTAAATTCGATCGCGTTATCATCGCTTCCTTCCTTCTTTCCCTGACTATCTGCCTTCTGTTTTGTTGGTGTTTGGAGATTACAAATTCGTTGAAATTTGATAATTTGCAGAGCAGTATGCGAATCGGAGCTAGAAAAAAGGTAAGTGATAGCATCAATGCTCGATTCAATTCTGCCTCGGTTGTTGAGTTGGCGTTCCGTAGACCCTCTCTCCTCTTAATTTTCTTCCTCAATCTCTCTCCCCCTCTAATTACCCTCCTTTTCCTTTTCTTTTTACTCCTAAAATACCTGAAAATAATAATGAATTTCTTTCAAAAATAAAAAGAAAAAGAAAGAAAGAAGCAGAGCCGGCGTGTTTGACGGGCTTTCGATTTGACTGAGCACGACCCGTCAGGCCTATAGTTGAATTGCTATGCATTTGATATGGGCCAGCCATATTTTGAAGATTATTAGTTTTCGAGTAAAATGCACCCATCGTCTCAAACTAGACATAGATTTAAAATTAATCCTTCAATTTAAAAATATTCTAATTAAATCCTAAACTATCAATATTGTATCAATCAGATAATTTTCTAGCCTGACTATTAGCTTGCACATTAAGTATTATCTCAAATTTAACATGGTACAAATCTAAAATAAATGGACTAAATTATAAACACATGTATTTATTACACGAATAACTGTTTTTAAAACAATTTCTACTTAGGGTATTAATAAACAATAAAGTTGATAACATTAAAGATTCAAAGTTTAACAAGAGCAATAAAAGAAAGTTCAGAGAAAATACTAGTAACAAAGAAATACGATGAGTGTCGAGGGTGTTGATCATTAATGAAGAACAAGTAATTTCAGAGAAGAAAGGGACAAAGTGGATAGAATTTTCAAATATGAAAAATTAAATTTATTATAATATTTTATATCATGAATAAATTGATAGAATACTTGAATTTTAGGGAATAAAAATATTATTATATCATATCATATTAAACTTTCATCTCATATTGAACAATCTAATAACTTTTTTTTTTTGTAACAATATTTTAGTATAGTAGTTAAAATAATATTTTTTAAAAAATAATTCATTCATACTCAAACTAATAATTGAATAATCTAAACTCTAGTTTACCTTTTTTAAAATAAAAATTAATAAATATGTATTTTGAGATTTAGATTATTTAGTACAGTATATGTAAAATTCGTAATGAGGAAAATAAGTATACTATAAACTATACTAAAATATAAACCTCGTCATATGTGACAAAAGAAATTTGTATGGAATTTGTCATGTCATGAAAACGAATTTTAATTATTTATTATATTTTATGAAACTTTTCATTTCCTCACGATGAATTTCACGTATATTGTAACAAATAATTTAGATCACAAATTAATTTCAAATGCTTACATTTATGCACAAACCAAGTGACCTCAATGGTAAAACAAATTGTTATTCTTTGAGGTCTCGGTTTCAAGTACCATGAATGTATGGGGTGTGAGTGTTTCATTTTAAATGGTTAAGAGTTATCTTGGAACAAATATTGTCTTCTACTTACTCCAGATTAATCAAAAAAAGAAAATAATACTTGCATTTATTTTTTCTTTGGCAAAAAGGTAGATGAGACCCTTGTACTTTAAAAAAACGCGACCGTCGAACTATTTTTGCACTTAATGTAACCCTCAAACTTAGAAAATAAACTTAATGTGACATTTTGACCAACGAATTTTATCGTTGACCATTATGATGCTGATGTGATAGTCTACGATGCTGACATGACATCCAATATAACGGGTGCCATAGTCAGTGACATGACAAATGTGTTAAATTGATTTTTTTTGATCGAGTTCAAGGGTCAAATTAGGTTTTTGAAAGTTTAAATGCTTATTTGATTCTTTTAAAAATAAAAATATTCTAAATTTAAAATATAAAAATATTAAAAATAAAAATTAAATTGCAAAAAAAATTAAAATATATTATTATTTTACCTCAAATTAACTAGAGTTTTATGTATATAAATATAAACTCATTCATAATGTACAAATTTTATTTTATATATTTATATCTAAATATCTTAAACTCTAAATGTTTGCCTAATTCAATTTCATTATTTTTTTTTATAAAATTGAATTAAAAAATATTATAAAGTCTTATACAAAATAAATTGAAAATTTGTGTATAAATTATCATGAAAACTATGTAATTATGAAATTTATAGTTATACAATTAAGAGGAGCATTTTAGTAAATATAACATGATAGAAGGAAATAAACTTCACCTAAATTTGATCCCAAAAAAATTAATAGGAAAATTGTTTTGTACCCTATTAATTTATGTTAGATACAATTCTATAGAGTTAAGGTAGATATAAAGTCTACGTGTTTGAGGTATTTTTTTATAACCTCTAATATTTATTTTTTAAAAATCTTCAAGGAGTAGCAAATTCATCTTTATAAAATAAAAATAAAATAGAACTCACATTAGAATTAATATGTACAAATATAACAATATAATTATACTGTTAAATAAAATAAAAATCACATTAAATTTTGTTTATAAATTCAATGAATCATTTAAAAAAACTAACATTTTCAATAACTCTTAATATATTTTTTAAATTTTTTAGTAATTTAATTTTTTTTAGTATTTTTGCATAGTTTAAATTTAAAATATTTTTCTAAAAAGATCAAATAAGCCCTTAAACTTAAAAAATCAATTTGGTACTCGAAATCGATAAAAAAATTAATTTAACCATCTGTCACATCATCAACCACAATGGATCGTCATATAAACATCGTATATCGCTATGCCAACACTGTAAAATGTCACGTTAGTATCGTAACAATCAATAATAAAAATTATTAGTTAAATGACTATATAAGATTTATTTTTTAAATTTAAGGACCACATTAAGTGCAAAATTAATTCGAAGGCTACATTACATTTTTTAATATATATAAAGACCTCATATACCTTTTTTTTCTTTTTCTTTTTTCATTTCAATTATTTAAACAACGAAAAAAATAGAAATATATATATATATTATTTTAAATCCTTAGAATCCTAAACAGCCCAACTGACAGAGTCGCATAGGCATAGGCTCAGCCCCAAGTAACGTATCTCTGTCTGGGTCCCTACACCGACCTTCGCAGGCCAAAACCGCCCTCCACGTGTCTTCGATCCCATTGGTCGCATGCTCGCATGACTTGTAGTACAGAGTGTCTTTTTTTTCTTTTTCTCATTTCCTCCTGCGCTAGCATATTAACTACAACCACACTCGCTTTCTTTAGTTGGACATGTGCTCAAAGGGAAGATATCCAATAAAAGAGCGAGTACAAAACAGTCGATCATGTTTACAGAGTATATTGTTTCAACTTTTTTTATTTTACTTATATCAATGCAAACGTCGGTTACATGAATTGCGCTCGATTGGCTATCCCTTTAGCTTCCATTAATATTTTGATAGCCCCTTTTTCTTAATCGCGTCTGATCCACGTTGCGAATGACGAGGCTTTGGATGCTATAAAATCCCAGCTCCTCCTTTCTCAAAATCCACCAATCTGTACTCAGTAGCCAACTCTGAAGAGGTGAACCGCAACACTATCTAGCTTTGACCATATTTGATTTTAGTGCTTGTTGATACACAAAAAAAAATGGCAGAGGAGCATACCAACAAGGCACCTGAGATCGAGAGCAGCGTCGCCGGTGAAGAAGCAGTGGAGTCCAAGGACCGAGGGTTGTTCGATTTCATGGGGAAGAAAGAAGAGGAGAAGCCCCAAGAGGAGGTGATCGTGACTGAGTTTGACAAGGTTAAGATTGAAGAAACAAAGGAAGAGGAAGAGGAAGAGGGAGAGGAGAAGAATAAACATGGTCTCCTGGAGAAGCTTCACCGATCAGATAGCAGCTCCAGCTCTGTAAGAACATTAACAAGAGACAAGTTTCCATTTTTGGATTATACTTTAATTATTCCTTAGTAACATGTAATCTGTTTGTCTGAAACATGCAGTCGAGCGACGAGGAAGAAGGAGAAGGAGGAGAGAAGAAGAAGAAGAAAAAAAAGGAGAAGGGACTGAAGGAGAAGATGGAAGAGGAAAAGAAAGAAGAGGACACAGTAGTCCCGGTGGAGAAGCGTGATGAACCAGTGGTTCAGCCGGAGACGGCTGAAAAGAAAGGGTTCCTTGAGAAGATCAAAGAGAAACTCCCTGGACAACATAAGAAAGCTGAAGAGGTGAGTAGCCCACCTCCAGCAGCAGCAGCTGAGCCCCATCATGAAGGCGACGCAAAGGAAAAGAAAGGAATTTTGGAGAAAATCAAGAAGAAGCTTCCTGGTTACCACCCCAAAAGTGATGAAGAGAAAGAAAAGGAGAAGGCTTGAATCTCAAGTTAAAAGAAGAATGGTGAAGGAATTGTGTGTTTCTTAAATTGTTGTCTGTATTTGTATATTTCATATAAGTTTCCCCTGCATTTAGTGCAATTCATATGTAAGAAAGAACATGTTATTACCTTTCTTTTTGTGTTTTGAACAGTATTTGCTCTATCGTTTATCATATTGAGCCCCACCTGTTTTTGTTACTTTCTTCTAAATGAACTATGACCATTATCGGGTAGACTTTAGCCATTTGAATAATTTCTTAACATCACATCTTGCTTCTATGAATGAGACATCCATTAATTTTTTTTAATATAAATTATTGAAGTTTTGATCATATTTTTAATAAAATATGCATACGAAGCCCAACGTCGAATTGGAACTTATGAAGGAATATTTTTAATAATTGATGTTTTATTTACGGTTCATAAAAATTAATTAATTAATTTTTTTATTTAAAGGAACATAGGTTATTTAATTAGATTAACATGAAGTTTGAGAAAGATTGTTGTAGATGTTCGATTTGTCCGGTCCAACTCAAAGTGCTCAATTGGTGGGAGATCAAAGCCAAACTGGCAGCCCAACAACTAAGAACCGAGCTCAGCTTCCAGCAACAATGTTTCCCAGCCTCTGCATGAACAGTTTGCCAAATGAAAATGAAAGGAACCCCTGCAAACAAATATAATAACCAAGGCAGCACCAAAACGTGAGGGGAACCGTTAGCAATAGAGAGAGATATGTTGAGCAGTCAAGAAAACCGTAAAATATCAGTTTCTATTATCAATTAACTACCAGAAACGTGGGACACGCAGAAAAGAGGGGGTGAACGACTGAAAATAGAAAAAAAGAGGTTAACATCTATCATCAGCAGGGGGAGAGGGGAATCAGGGGAGAAACCAGAAACGAACACAAAAAAGAGTAGGGGATCGATCCTCAACCCGTCAGCAGTAGTGAAGAAGAGAAAATAGAAATTAACAGCCATCGACAACGACCAGAGGAAGAAAAACAATAAACCACAGCGAAACCAAAAACAGTAAAAAAAAATAGAAACCACCACTCTAAAAAACCACGAAAAAAAAAGACTTACCTCTTGAATCCATAAGCCTTGGTCGTCTTTTTTAGGAACCCACGACCCGTGAGAAGGTAAGTCCATTTTTTTTGTTATTTTCCAGTCATGCATGTTGGTTTTAAACCTTGGATTTTGGGGATTTGATGGGTTTTAAGTAGGTCTCGGTCGGGATTGTCCTCGGATCTAGGGGTTCTAGTCATTTCCTCGTCGGAACTTAGGGAGAAGGAAACCTACAGTGGACGTAGGTTTGGTTTTGAGGGGTCTCGAGGGTTCGGTTAGAGCCTAGGCGTTGGGGCTTTGGTTTAGTGGTTGAGAGGCTCGGCGGCGTTCATGGATCGAAGGTAAGTCTAAGGATTTTGGCTCTCGGCTGGAGTTGTGTGTGGCCAAACCCTCGTCGGGTTTAGATGGTGTTCTCACCGGAGTCGAGCGAGCAGAGAGGGTCGAGAGATGGGATCAGTTTGGTCTAGTTTTTTTTACCTATGACCATTGTGGTAGGGAAGACTTGGGCTGCGTCGGCTTAGCGGTGTTGGAGCTTCCTTGGGTTGTGAAGGCGGTCGTGAGTGAGGAAGAAGGAGAGTTAGAGAGTTGAGAGTGATAGAGATAACAACGAGGGATTCGTTGGGTTTAGATATTAGGGTTTTGTCTTTAGGTTAGATTTTATTTTAGAATTAGCTAAAACGCCGTCGTTTCAGCCGATACTTTCCTAGTTTCTATTTCTGACCCAATATTATGCGCGCATTCCATTTCGGTCCCCAAAATCAGGCATTTTGAGCTTTGTTGTTATTTTAATATTGTCTCTTAATTTTAAGCGTTTTATATCTTAGCCCAGAATCATGTTAGAGCCATTTTTGCACTGTTTTTACATTGGTTATGTAATTTACGGAACTTTCATTTTGGTCCTTGAACGAATCTTTTGTGCCTTCTTAATTTGGTCTTCATATTTATGAACACTTTTCATGTTAGTCCTGAAATGTTTTTATGTTTTATTTTTGAAATGTAATTTGTAATTTTGGTTGTTTGACAATTTAGGCACTTAGCATGTTTTTTAATTTAATGGTTAATTCCTACTTTGCATGCTTAGTTTAATTTTATTTTATTCTGGTCCTTCATGGTAATTTTGAATATGAAATCGAGATACTAATAGTATGTTTTATTGTATATATTGTTTTATTCTAATGTATGTCAATGTCGTTGTATGCATGTATATACCATATCACCATACTTTATTTTAGACTTAGGTGTTTATTTGAATATAGGATATTATTTAATTAGTTTTTACATGACATTATTTTGCATAATATGCATGATAGCCTCACGTGCATAACTCGACCATATGACATAATTGGATTAAGGGTAATATACTTTTAATTTAAAATTGTTTTAAGTGGGCAGTCATAACTGATTTGAGGTCCGCTTTTAGTGATTTTAAAATAAAAGTGTATCCCGAAAGTGAAACCAAAAATTGATTCGTCACCTAAAATTTGGGAACGAAAGAAAAGGAAATGTTCGTTTATTTAAATTTATCGAGAAAAGGTTGTTATAACTTTTAAGATCTGGTCTCGATATTTGTAAATAATCGAACATTCTTTATCTTTCTAAAACGACTCGGTAATTTTAATTTAATTTATTTGAGTGCTTTTGAATGTTTTAAATTTACATTTTATTTTATGGGATCAAAAATCAGAAAAAGTCCGAATTTGTAAAGTTCATTGCAAAGACGTTAATTAATCGATTAGGTACCAATTTAGGGCGTTGTGGGGGTGCTAATCCTTCCCCACACGTAATCGACTCCCGAACTCATTTTTTGGTAACGCAGACCTTAATTTGTTGTTTTAATTAAAATTAATTTTTATTTAAAATAACAAAATATTTTTGGGTGCCCAATCACACCCTAATCAAAGATTAGTGGCGACTCTTTGAACAATATTTTTTTTAACGTAAAGAGAATTTCAAAATTTTCGAAACGAGAGGTTTTTAAATCGTATTTGTTTTTAAATTAAAAATCAATTGAAAGAGATAAGTTAAAAATTGATGTGGTTTTCAAAATCTCACATTTTCACCTTTTGAGGGAATAATCGTTTCGACAGCTTGGCGACTCTGCTGGGGATTTTTTTTAGAGAGTCAAGCCGATAGTCGATTAATTAATTGTCTTTGCAATTGAAAATTACAAATTCGTTTTAATTTGATTTTTGATCCCTTGTTTGGTTTTTAATAAGTTTTGTTTATATTTTGATTTTTTTAAATTTAATTCGATTAATAATTAAATAGTTGTACTAATATGTTTGTTAATGATTTCAAAATAATTGTTTGTTTTAGGAATTGATTTTGAGTGTTTTTATTGTTTGTTTTTTGATTTTCCTCACACACTGCACAGTTGCATTTTCATAACATGAGCTAAAACCCCGCTCCGTCCTAATTAAGTAGGAGTGAGAGACTATGCCCTCGTGTGGTTTTCACCTCCGCATGGGATAGTGGATCGCTCCTGGAGCTCACGCCTTATGGTCCTCGTGATGGTAATCACCTCCGCATGGACATAAGGAGGTGTGTTCCCTCGAAATTGAACTCGATCCCCTAAAGCCTGTGATGGGCCAGGATTGAGGGTTCGGTAGCCTAAGGGGGCACCGACAAGGACAATTCGAGAACCTATTACTTTAGAACCGAACCCATCATATAGTGAATATAGAGCCCGAACTTAGGTTGAGCCAAACCCGAACCTTAAGAATCCCGTGAGGAGGGTACACAAGGAAAAGCTTTTTTGAGTCATTTATTTTCATTTTTTCGAATAAATGTATGCGAACTAGATATCATGCGGTTAGGTTTATTTTTTGAATAAGTATGCGAATTAGATATCATGCTGTTAGGATTTATTTTTGTGAATAACAAAGCATGGGGGTAGATATCATGTTGGGTAGGATCTGATAAAGCATGATTGGGTAGCCAGCATGTGGGTAGGATTCTTGAACAAATTATTATCCCGACTTAATTGCTTTATGTTTGTTAACCGATCTCTTGTTGTCTTTGTCTTGTTTCTTTTCTGTTTTGCATTGCACTATCCATTACATGGTGTTGATTTGGGATCGATGTCCATATAGAAGGCCAGTAATATGGAACGAACGGTTCAGAAAAAGTTTGAGGACAATGCCGATGTTCTGAGGTGGTCAAAACAGTCCCAACTGACCAATGAGGACAGCGTGATGCCTGGATACGTGTCGGAGTTATTTGGTTATACTCACATCAACGTGCGTCAGAATGATCTAAGTGAGCTAAAGGAGATATGGGGAAGATGGACAGTAGCCGATAAGGAGATGTTTTATCAGTTGTACGGCGATTTTCCTTATCTTCTGGATGTTCCTATTGACCGAAATCTGTTTAGAGCCTTGGCACAATTCTGGAATCCGGCTTACAGCTGTTTCACATTTGGTAGAGTGGATCTAACACCAACAATAGAGGAGTATCAAGCTTTGGTCCGTTGTTCGAGGTCACAGATGGATAGAGTATATACCAAGCTGCCAGTCACTCCTTCGTTTAAGAAGAAATTACTATTGATGACCGGAATGAGTGAAAATTGGGTAGTCAGAAACATTAAGAAGAAGGGAGATAGTAAGTTTATCTCTTGGGCTGCTTTGAAAGAAGTAATTGATCATAATCCTGATAAGAGAAAGAAGCTTGACTTGTTTGCTTTAGGGATTTATGGGCTCGTTATTTTTCCAAAGGTGCTAGGATATGTAGACGTATCAGTCGTTGACCTGTTTGAAAGATTAGACAAGCACGTGGATCCTGTTCCAGCCATTTTAGCTGAGATATTCCGATCTTTGAGTTCTTGTAGGCGCGAGGGAGAAGGACGCTTTATAGGATGTGCGCCTTTGCTGCTACTGTGAATTCTGAGTCATTTTAAACATGTTGAAAGAGCACCAGGACGAGTGTTTCTAGAGGGGTTTTCGCCTTTGAAAGATTTTCTTTCTAAAGAATGGCCTGGGGGCTTTACCGAA